TATATATATATATATATATATATATATATATATATTCGTGTTGGTTTCGACTTGTGTAATCAATATAATAATCATTTGAATGCTAAATGTAGCAATGCTTTAAAGACTAAATTCTACTAATGAACTTTCATTAAAATATATCGCTTTAGCAAGAAAAATTTTAACATTATTTAAAATTAATCTATTAAATTGAAATATGGCCATATTATACACCATATCGTATTTTCCACCTTTTAAGTTGTTCTTTTTTCTTTTTTTTAAATTTGATTTAATATAATTTTAACTCCCACAGTATAAAAACATCTAAAATAGTTTTATGAGAATCCCGATAATAATAATAAGGTGATGATTTTATGCTTTGTCGAAAACGGGAATAAAAATCGTCCTACTTTAATCGCTACTGAATAAAGTTTACTACTACAAAAAAAAATTCTTCAGCAAAAAGTTATAACGTTCTTTATTCATTGTAGTTCAAGATATGGAAGAGCTGGAAGATTATCTGTGCGTGCCTCAAAAACGGGATGATGATGATCGAGCTGTTCTTTTTCTAAAATTAAAATGTGGACAGATTTTTACTGCAGGCCTAAAACGAAAGGTTACCAGTAAAATTAGAGAAGAGCTTTGGATGGATATAGTGCCTAAAGTTATTATTCCGGTAACTGATATACCAGTAAGTATTAATACTCGTGTTTGCCTTTATTACAACGTAGATACTCATCACGTAACTATAGACTGACCAGAGTCCTCGAGAAACTAAAAAACTAGTAGTAAAATTTCTATTTGAATATTTGAAAACTAACTACTATATCTTTTCAAATTATTATTCCTTGAACATTGATCCCTCTCAGGAATTTTTTTTAAAAAAGGAAAAAGAGAAAAGTTCTTGAATTATTATTATTATTTTATAACTTTTTGTAGAATTTTTGCAACCAGCTTTTTAATTTTTCGAGGACGTTGGTCATCTTAAATAAGAGGTAAAAGAACTTTGCTTACCACAACACATAAATAATTTAAGCAGATACATTAAAAGTTAAATTAGCAGACGATGTTCTTAAGTTCTGATGAAAGTATTCTAATAATTCTATTTATTTTATCATTTACGGCTTTAGCCCACTTTCACTGAAAAGAAAATAGATAGCAAAAGGAGAGTAGGATTGTTGGAGAGTAGGATAATTTATTAGATCTGTATATTTTGATTCGAAATTAGGTGACTGCGACATTTTAAAACTATGAAGGTACCTATCGTTTGAATTTTTAAAAAAAGAATTACATTCTTACTTCAGAACTAAATCTAAATGTTTAGATCTAATAAAATTAAAGTAAAGAGTTTGTGTGTCTATCTAGGTGTATATTTCTTATTACTCAATAACAGTTTTGCGCTAGCGTCCTGAAATTTGGACAGTGGGTGAAAGGGCTAATTTTAGTCCTCGATCCTAAAATTCGTTTAAAAATTTAAATTAGATCGTTCGGGAAAATTTGAAAAATGGAATTTTCTGATTGACTTAGCATTTTAATCATTGTTTGAAATTAAACTATAGATTGTTTTGTTTATTTTTTTTGTTAACATTTTAAAGGTAACATCATTGATGTTTGCTGCTTATAGCTCACAATATTAAAAAAAAGGAGTTCATTGCCCTTTTCTCAATAATTAGTAATTATTTATTATATCAAAAACTAAACGATTAATGTGAAGGTGGTAGTATGAGCTGACTACGTCACCAAATTAGTATTTCTGAAGCAATCTGAAACCGCATTTTTATTTTGTATATAGTTATGCTTTTAAAATGTGCCTCTATGAAACTGAATAATTTGAAATCAATGGTTATTGAAATAAGAAAAAATATATATATATACTGAAAAGAAGAAAAAAAATAATGGAGAATAGCACTAATTCTTATCAGAGTGCCATAAAAAATCGCTATACTATTACACTGGGGAACACATTTTTTGTTGCATTCATACATACATTAAAAAAAAACACCCAAGACGAGAAAAAAAATTCTTTTATCGCATTATAAAATGAAATCAATCTTGCCGTCTTCCTACCACTCCCTACGTACAAGAGACGTGGGAGGAGGAGCTCTCTGTATTCACTCGAGTGAATTTTAAAAAAATCCAGGTAAGGAATATATTATTGAATTGCGTAAAAACTGTAGCTTTTAGAGAAAAAAACAATAGCAGATTTAAAATTTATAAGATCTGCTCGAAAATCTCATACAACAATAAAAAAAAATATATATCAATAAATTAATAAATTGCTTCCGACTGTAGTCGACACCAATGATGCTCGATAAAAGTACCCTTTTGAAAAAAGTGTTAGACAATAAATGCTGAGGCTATTCAGTTTATTTCTAATACGACTACCACTTAAGTTTCAAAACAAAATATCGCAGGTGCACAATTTTAGATGGAAATATAATCAAACCCTAGGGAGAACGCTTGTGGAGCCAGTAATAAGTCCGCTTTAACCCTTTCGCACCGGACGGGACATGTGCTGTCACAGTCAATGGGTGAAAGCCCTTATTTAACAAGACGGAAAAGAGAAAAACCTGGTACGTAAAGCATTTCATTCCAGCATTTTTTTCGAAAAAAATGAAATATCTGTAACTATCAAGATTTCTTTTATAATTCTGGCATATATATAAAACTGCTTCTTTTCCAAGATGAAGTAGATATTGTTGAAAAATTTAAAAAAAGAATAAGTAAACTCCTCCCCAAAACTAGCTATAACTGAAATGGTTTTACTACCAGCCTTTCCTCTTTTCCGTCTCGCTTTCACCCCTGCTGATTTTTCGCCGCTTTGAAAGGGTTAAAGAATAGTTCTCTATATCAAAATTCTTTGAAAATTATTTTTTAGCGTATGACAATAACATTGCTGAAAATAAAGATTACAAAAATACATAATCTGTTTACGAATTATTTGCTTATGAAATATGCAACAAATGAAAAAGTAAAATTAATTACTTTAGCTTAACATTCTATGGAAGAAATTAGTATTTTTTAATTGACCGCATTTCGATTTTTAAGAAGAGTTTACCAATTTTCGTATTTTCAATTAATAAAGAATCCAGTATTTTCTTGTCATCATTTTCTCGAGGGAAAAAAAATCAGAATCTTTCAAATTTCTTTACCGTTTCGTCCTTGTAAGAAGAGGGATGTATTTTATTTTACAATTTGTTCGCTTTTGTATAAAATCGAAAAGCATGCAAGAGTAAGATTTGACCTCCTGGAAAGAAATGCACTTTCTTTCCGTTTTGTCATTTGCAATCGTACATTTTGTAAATTTAAAGTTGAAAAAATATATAAAAACTGAGGAGAATAAACAAACTACCAATTTTTCAGCTGTTTATTATAAGCGTCTAAAGTAAGTTAGTTAAATAAAAATTCAGAGGGGACCATACTAAAAAGTATAACCGAATATTCTCTGTATCCCAAGTTCATTATAGAGGAGTTCAATATAACTATGCATTTTTGCTATTAATATATTTTGTAGGACACTGTCTTTACTTACCGATAAAAATTTAAAAAATGAAATAATTAAGTTAGCAACTTAAGTAAGTACACGAAAGAATCTAAGAATTTTGGCGACAAATGGACTAATCAAAAAAACAGAAAACCAAATTGTAACTTATTAATATCGCATAACTCAAATATATTTAAATTAAATTATTATTATTATTAATAATAATAGAAATTTTCCTTTATTTTTTATTTAATTTTTTTTTTCATTTTACTAGTACAACGTAAACGGCAAGAAAATGGAAAGCATAGTGAAGAAAATCATCTCAACCAATATAATTCCGGATATTTCAAACATTAGAAATCCCGAATGCTTACCTCAATACTGTGACATTCCCGAAATTCTAAGCTACAGTGAGAATTAGTCTCCCTTTCAGGTATTTTTATTTTAGATTTGTTTATTTTATAAAGTTTTTTCTTAAAGAAATATTACGACATAGCACAACTTGAAATTTGAATTATATTTAAAACTAGACAACTTATACAACTTGAACTCTATGAAACAATTCCGGCGAATGAAAATAAAACTTCTTTTTTCTCCCTAACTCTGTATACTAACTACTGTATACTAACTACTGTCTCCTAACTTCTGTATACTTCAGTATAGCAAGCATTTCTAAGCCTGTTAAAATCGATTCATCGTTACTCAAAATGAACTAAAAGTGGCATGCTTCCAAAGAAGAAACTAATGTTGAAAACTCCCTAGATGGATCATACGACTGAGTCCGCTTGCCGTCTGTCTAACCGTAGTAGGTTTTCGTGGCTTTTCCCACCATGTAACGCAAATGCATTTTAGTTCCATCAAAAAGTCCTCCATAGAAGCTAATTTGCTCCAATGCTTGGATTAGAAACATGCAGAGATGCCAACTTGCTCCGGGCAGCATATAAATATTTTCGAGTGGTAGTCTTTTAAAGTAAGATTCTTGGTTTAGTAAATTCGATTTATAGGGTTTTTACTCATCACCACTTCTAAATAATTCAAAGGCTTATGTGATACGACATTTTTATCAGTTAAGCCGTACATAATCAAAAGAGCCAGAGGAGCGTTTTTTGCGCTCAAAGTCCTCCTGCATAAGAATTCAAAGCTTGATCTAGCAAATAAAAGAACTATCTATATACAAGCGATTCGACCAATTCTTACGTATGCTTGCCCAGCCCTCACTACTATAAGCAACAACCTAAAAAAGAAGCTATCTACAACCGAAGGTAAATTTTTACGCACAATGACTGGCGCTCCAAGGGCGATTAGCAATAGATTACTCAGAAAAGACTTAAACATTGATGATATCAATTGCTTTATAGCTAAATTGACCACAAAATTTTACAGCGATGCAAAAACATGCACCACATCAGATTTCAATAAATTGTTCGATATTGATATAATCCGTGATAATTCGAATTTCAGCCCAATTACCGCCTTTTTATGCTCAGACTGCATACTATCAGAATACTATTAACTTTATCATACAACTCTACTCAAGGGGATCTCCCCATTCCAAAGATGATTTTCCCTTCAACTAAAGATTTGCTTCTTTAAGGACTTGACTTGTTGTTACAACATACTACAACTTCAAAGATATTTAGGACCTCCTAGAATACGACAAAACAGAATCGATGAATCGGTTAGTGGCGCTTCGCGCCAAACGCCGAGATAACCCCAATATCCAGCATCAGTTAAGCCGTGTTGAGCGTTTTAAAATGTCGGCAAAATTGACCAAAAATATGCAGATTTTAGTTTGTAGTTCTCTACCGTGTTTTTAATAAAACATATTTTGTTCTCTGAGCAGTGGGTATCTCTGAACATGCTTGGCTACTGGTTTGGGTCCAAGATTACTAGTCTACGGAGTGGAATATTGATAGTCGTAAACTCAAACATTAGTCATCAGTTCCTCGTCGATTATAAAATAAAATAAAATCTACCGTCTGGAAAAATCAAAAAGTGGTGGCTGATGTTTCTCAAAGTTACTGAAAAGGCTATATTCGTAGTAATATAATAATGTTTAGTATTATATTCCTTGGGGATTATTTTTTTATCCTTATTATATGGTTTTTTTTTATCCACTACGTTTAAATTGAGTTGTTTTTTTCTGTAGATACTGATATATAAAAACAGCTTCATTTTTATCAATTTTGTTACCAATTTAAAGATATTTTAAGATTATAGCAACCTTAGTGACCGGACAAGATCTATCAATGACGCTTTTGCACTAGATTATATGACCGGAGGAGGTCCATTCATAATATTGTATCGGTTTTAACCAATTCTTAACAAAACTTTATGTTCATTTTTAGTGTGGAATAAAGCTCAATTTTATCTACACAAAATAAAAATAAAAATGAAGGCTTAATCAGTCAAATATAGTCCACTCTGTTCGTTGACCTTTTGCCATCTTTCTGGTAACATCAGGATCTTGCACTCATACAACTTATGATTCTTATCAGCAAAATACACAACAAAGTGCGATTTAAGCTTATTCTTATTACTGAAATTTTTAAAATTTAAAAAGTTTAGTAAATTTCGAAATAAATTGCAATCTGATGGTACAAGATCGGGGCTGAATGGTGGTCTCAAATTTCAAAGGAATTGCGTTCCAATTCGCAATGCGAGGTTTTACATGTTCTTAAACAACACGAACAAAACTGTTGGAGTTTAATTAGGTATTGAGATAGTACCTCCTCTTTCCACCATGGGTTTATCATTTACATCGAAGTTTACAAAACTTTTTAAGTACTAAGAGGTTTCAGTAATAGCGATAACCTGGAATTGCACTCTCTTTTTAGTTTTTTGCTAATACGAAGCAATTACCAAAAGCTTAATGAGCTTGAAATCAGGAAGTTATCAGAAAGATGGCAAAAAGTTATTAAACAAAATGGAATATACATATTTGACTAATTAAAGTTTATTTTTTGTATAGAAAAAATTTAATTTTATTTCCCACTAAAAAGTTGAAATTACTTTGTACTCTTTATCTTTAATTCAAAATAGCGTTTTGAATAAACTTTTAAATTAACTGAATGCAAGCTAATTTTAAATCTTTCTAAACCAAGTATGAACCAAGTAATCACATGCTTTTCTACTACTCGAAAAAAATATACCGACTTTGTGAAGCAAGTTAGCATCTCTCATGCCATGGCATCAAGTCTCTATGCAAATACATATAGCTGCAAATTTTACTCATTTACTTTTTACATACATATGGATGGCAAAATAATACGAAGACTTCGATATTAGCACTATGTAAAAAATTTCTCTTTTAGCAGTAAATGTTATTGGAAAATTTCACATTGTAAAACCTTTGGTTCTATTTTAAAGCTCATGCTTGAAGCCTTTAGAAATATTTTCCCTTTTACCCATGCAAAATTTGCATCGACAAAATGACTGCTTTAAGTAGAGAGTTGATTTTGTTTTTTAATACCACTATAATTCTGAAAGCATTCTTAATTAATTATAAAATCCTGCATGATTGCGTATATTAAAGCTAAAAAAAAGTAATTAACTTCATTTCCTCATTTTGGGCGATTTGAACTTTTCATGGGTAAAATTGACACCATTTCTTAAAACTTCAAGCTTGATCTTTCAAATTGTGCCAACAGTTTGGCGTTGCAAAATATTCCAAAAATATTAGTTACTAAAAGGAAGGTTGGTTACTGAGAGTTAGTAAAGAAGTGTTCCTATTATTTTGTCAACCAACTGTATCTAGCCATTCATCGAACTCTGAAGACGCACCTTCTTTAAATTAATCATTATCTTAATTTTTGCAGGTCGTTTGATTATTTCGAAGAATCCTAACAGTACTTCTAATCTTCTAAAAGTTAGAAGATTTCGCTTACTTTATTTGTGATTTAATCTAATATTTCATATTAATTTTCTTTGACTTGTAAAAAGAAATTGTTTACAATGAAATAAAGTATTTTTCAAATGTAAAAACAAATAAAAACAATTATTAAATAATGCTTGTATGTCTCTTTTATATCAGGCATTGAACAATTATAAATTTTTGAGACACGCATTCTAGCAGATATATTTATATTCATTTGAATTTTATCTTTAAAATTAACTAAAATTGTGTATCAGGGATTTAAACTGGATTCTTCTCTGTGCAAAATTTCAGTTTCCTAATACAAAACGCTCCTTTATATCACGCACTGATCCCTCCATATGCTAAATGTTATTTTTATTACAAATTATTTATAATTAATTTAATTTCCGAAAAGCGCTGAAAAGTTATTAAATTTTGGAACTTATTTTTTTTTCTTTCTTTCCTTTAAGTACCTTTATTATCAATTAATTGAACGAGTACAAATCTAGTAATTCCTCCCATGATTTTTCTTAAATATTGGGAGTACAAATTAGTTTGGTCCGTTTTTAAGAGATAGCTCTGCTGTTATGAATGTTTCATAGTGACTGCTGGTTTCAGAGAGGTTAAACATCTGTCAATAATATTCAGTTTATATAGCTTAGGGTTTCATACAAAAACTCTGTTTTTTACTTTGTTGAGTATGTCCAGTTTTGTGGTAACTAAGCACCATTTGCGGGAGGTTTTATGTTTCTGCTTTAATTGGAAGAAAAGTGCAGCTGAAGCTCATCGAATTCTTGTAGAAGTATATGGTGACAATGCTCCAACTGATAAATCATGTAGGGAATGGCTTCGACGTTTCAAGAATGGTGAATGAAGAATGGTGAATAGTTTTTTACACTATGAGCTGCTACAACCTGGTGATTCCATTACGGGCGATCGGTATAGGCTACAATTTATTCGTTTGAGCCGTGCATTACGAGAAAAAAGACTGGAATACGAGCAAAGACATGACAAAGTTATTCTTCTGCCTAATAACAGTCGGTCTGATGTCGTAAATCTCGCACAAAAATTATTTGGGAACGTTCAAGTGGGATGTTTTACCTCACCCGCTGTATTCGCTGGACATTGCTCCTTCTGATTACTGGTTGTTCCGACGGATGCAGCATGATTTGGCAGGTCACCAGTTCACTTCTTTCGCAGAAATTTAAAATTGGCTCCTAACTTGGATCACCTCAAAAGACGAGACATTTTTTTGAGATGGAATTCTAAAATTGCCTGAGAGGTGGGAAAAAGTAGTAGCCAGCGATGGACAATATTTTGATTAATCTGTTCATTCATTTTGTTGTGAAATAAATGCATTTTTGATTACAAAAAAAGCGGACCGACTAATTTCTACATCCAATACTTATAAAGTTATAAGAAAAACAACAGCTAACTTAGGCATGTATACACTCTTTGCCATAAAAATTAGCGCACCCAGAAAGAGTTGTTAGAATGAAGCGAAATTTATAAATGCGAGTACAACGTTTGTGTAAGTAAGTGATTCAAAAATCAAAGCAAAACGATCATTTATTGCAGGAAAGAATAATACATGGAATGGTAAATTCTTGATCATTCAAACTATTCGAAATTTCGTTCTCACTTCTTTGGGTCACCTCTAGCAGGAATGCAGGATCAGTGCCGTAACTTCACCCCTCGGGGCTCTGGGGCAAAAAGTTTTGGAGGGGGCCCTTTCAAAAACTTTCAGTACTCCATCTCTAACGTCATTTTAGCTATTTATGTATTATGTTTGCGAATATATTTATGAAAACAAGTTATTTGTTCGTATATAAATTGGATTACAAAACATTGTAAGTTTTCTACATGCTTCAAAATTTCAGCAAAATCGATTAATCCTGAGAAATTAAATTTTAAAAAAGTCGTTCTTATAAAGCTCAATTTCTCAGGAACTAATGCACTATTCAACCAATTACGCTCAAATTTGTATTTTCCATGTGGAATTAGATACTTTAAAATGATACGAAAAAAAAATTATATGGCTTACGATTCAAAAGTTTTCAGACTATTATTATCCCGAAGTGGAGTGATCGTTAAGACACGGTTCCCAGCAGATCACCGAAGTCAAGCATCCCTGGCTGCGGTCAGTGTGCCGGTGGTGACCACTTGGATCAGCCTGCGTAGGGACCGAGGGTGTGCGGTATTGGTCCTCGTTAAACTGTCCTACCATAAAGTGCTGGACTTCGCGTGCATGTCGTTGGGC